CAAGGCGAGGCGGGGGCCACAAACTATCATCCAGTGGGCCGCATATGGTCCCCGGGCCGCATGTTTGAGACCCCTGCAGTAGAGTATCATCCTTCAAAATACTCACCTTTGACGGTAACTTGAGCACTGCAGGAAGCCCTTCCAGCATTATTCTCTGCTAGACAGGTATACAGCCCATCATCTTCTGGTAAAGCATCTTGAACAGTCAACTTTGCAATTCCATCCTCAAAGACTGAATGTGCATACTGAATTGGCCGATCTACAGAAGAGAGAAGAAAAACTAAGAAATGGAAGAACATTTCAGCTGGCCACTAATATACCATCCATTCCTCTGCTTTATAAATCATTTACTTGCTCTGCTATTAATTTACAGTAAAGAAATAAATCCTACTCATTGTTTCACTCCTCCTTTACTTCTTTGAAGATGATCATCAGTCCTTTAGCTATGACTTTACCCAATTCAGATGTACTGTACACCTTTGCTAAACCATTGCAACAATACCCATAGCGAATTCTTATGGTGAACTCCATTAGGCAAATACTTTACATACTTTCAAAATCATGTGCAGGAGCCTGTATGTTGGTGCTCCAGCCTCCTACAAACAAAACATTCCTTTATTTAAAGCAGTGGTCCCCAACCTTTTTGAGCCCGCAGACCGTTTGGGGGTTGTGGGCGCCATGCGCGGACCGCTTGGGGGCATGCTCATGGAGGGGCATGTCACGCTCATGTCTAAGATACAAGGGTGCTTCTGAGGAGAGATGCCTGCTCAATAAAATACTATGTACAACAACTCTGAGTCAAATTTCTTTATTAGACAAGGTAGCTCATGGCAATGCTCAGGGAGGGACACAAAAGTTAGGTTGAATTCACACAAATGGGTTATCCTGTGCCTGCGCAGGAACGTCCGGAAGATTCTAGATCTTAAGAAAAAAGAGCCAATTAGCTCCACCCTGTGGGGTATATAAGCTCCGCCTCCTCCATCTTCCTTTCAGTTTCCTAATCCGCCGTTACCGTAAGTTAGATAAGCATAGTATCATAGAACGTTACCGTGACGGATAGACGGGAGGAAGGGAGGGATGTGTGAATTCACAGAGTACCACTAGAAGAACCAAAGTTACAGGTAAGTAACCTAACTTTCTTCATAGTGGTCTCTGTGAATGCACACAAATGGGTGAATAGCAAGCTGCACTCACCAGCAGGAGGGCTGTCACAGTATCATAGGTGACAGTATCACCCGTCCAAACGCCGCATCATTTTTGGCTCTGACGTCCAGTCGGTAGTGTCTGGCAAATGTCAGAGGGGTAGCCCAGGTGGCTATTTTGCAAATGTTCTGCAGTTGGACACCCTTGAATAGGGCTGTCGAGGTGGAAACCACTCTGATGGAATGTGCCTTTATGCCCTCTGGAAGGGGTTTCTTGGCTAGCTGGTAAGCCAGGTGAATAAGCTGAACAATCCACCGTGATACTGATTGAGAAGAAGCAGGAGCACCTTTGTATGGTCCATGGTAACATAAGAAGAGACGCGGAGAGCGTCGGATGGACTTGGTGCGGTGTAGGTAGAAAGCAAGGGCCCTTCTAATGTTGAGAGAATGAAGTTTGCACTCCAGTGGTGTGGCTGGAGATGGGAAAAAGTTTGGAAGCACAATAGGCTGATTGACATAGAATTCTGACACCACCTTTGGAAGGAAGGAAATGTCCATGTATAAGGTAACTTTGTCTGGGTGCATCTAACGGTACAGAGGGTCCGACCTAGGGGCAGAAATCTCGCTTGCTCGTCTGGCTGAAGTAACGGCTACTAGGAATGCCATTTTCCAGGAAAGAGGTTTTTCAAAGCATGTAGCCATTGGTTCGAATGGAGGTTTAGTAATGGCCTCTAAGACCAGCGGAAGGGACCATTGGGGTGCAATGGTTTGGGAGGGTGATCGTATGTTTTGGAGACCTTTTTAAAATCTTTTAAGTGTAGGATCGGAAAAAAAGCCTTGCAGAGTATGAACGAGGAGGCTGGTGTGCTACAATCGCTGAAATGTAAACTTTAAGCGTGGAATGAGCAAGTCCCAAATTGAAGCAGAAAGGTAAATACTGTACACAGAGAAAACTGGTACCGTGGTCATGCCTTTAGATTGGGCAAACCTGGTAAATGCTTTCCATTTGCCCTCGTATAAGCGCGCGGTAGATGGCTTTCGTGCATGGTGTAGCACCTCGCGGAAGCTGAGGTTATCCTCCACGCCGTCAGGCGAAGGGACCGAACATAGGGATGGAGAGCCCCGTTGTCCTGTGACAGGAGGGGCAGTATCTGAGGTAGAGGATAAACTCCTTGTGCTATTTCTGATAGGTGGGCGAACCACGGTTGCCTCGGCCGCCAAGGGGCGATGAGGATTGCGTCTGTACCATCCCACATTATCCCGGCCACAGTCCTGAGAAGCAGCGGTATTGGAGGGAACAGGTACGTTAGTTCCCCTGACCATGGTATAAGGAAGGCGTCTCCCAGGGAGTTGGCGTCCATGCCCGCTCTGGAACAGTATCAGGGACACTTGGTGTTGAGATAGGATGCAAAAAGATCCAAGGTGGGCTGTCCCCATCGTTTGCAAACATCTAGAAAGACCATCTGGTCTAATGTCCATTCATGCATTCTGGTAGGGAGCCTGCTCAAGTGGTCCGCTAGAGAGTTGTCCCTGGAAGCGATGTGGATCGCCTGTGGGAAAACATTGTGGGAGCAACACCAATTCCAGAACTTGATGGTCAGCTGGAGGAGACGCATTGATCGTGTTCCACTCTGCCTGTTGATGTAGTGCATCACCATGGTATTGTCCATTACCAGTTGCACAGCATGGCCTTGGATGCGAAGGAGGAAGATTTTGAAAGCCTTCATGACAGCTATTAGTTTTAGCTGATCGATGTGCAAGGTCCTTTGGGTTTGGGTCCAAAGACTGGGGGCACGGAGGTTCTGGCAGTGCGCACCCCAACCTGAGGGGCTGGCGTCGGTAACGACCTGTATGGACAGGTAAGGGGAGTGGAACGGTCTTCAATGTAACAGGTTACTGGATCTGGACCACCAGG